AAAGACAGGTTTTTTGCGGTTTTAGAAAGGGAAGTCTTCTACTTTACTTTGTAACTCTTTGGGAAACGCTGCTGTGGCTAGCCAGGACCATCTTCTCATAGTGATCGCTATAGCTGTGGAGCGAGCGGCTGTGTCCGCTACATCTAGGGCAATCTGGGGTCCTGCCCTAGCTGATGTGTACCCCTCTTGTACGACAGATCTCAGAAGTGGTCTCTTTGACTTGGGGAGATGTTGGAGCAGCTCCATCAATTTCGGGTAATTATCGACATTATGATTGGACAGCAAGGTGGCATCATTTGCTATGCAGAGAAGCAAAGTGGCTGATGAATACACCTTCCTGCCAAAGTTGTCTAGTTTTGTACTGTCCTTGTCCGCCACAGTGTTTCTGTATTGTGGTGTCTTCGCCTTATGTTGTGCCGTACCCACCACTAGAGAATTGGGTTGTGAGTGGTTAAATAAAAACTCGAGGCCTTTGGAGGGGACAAAGTACTTATTGTTGGCCTGCTTGCTTGTTGGCGCCACAGAGGCTGGGGTCTGCCAGATTTCTTCCTCAGCCTCCATAATCACTTCATCCACAGGAAGGGTGATTTTTTTACCTTTGCTGGGGGTGGAGGTTTTTCAGCAGACGGTATTGTTTGGTCTGCACTTCTGCCACCTGCACCTCTTGGGTTTCTGGAACCTGCTTGAACAGCTCTTGAAATTGTTTCAGGTCATCCGGAGGGGACATGTCACCTGGAAACACCGCTTCATTGGGGAGGAAGAGGACTGATCTGTAGGTGATGTCTCAGGTTGCTGGTCCTCTCCTTCAGATAACTGGCTCTCCTCTGCTGGGGCTCCACTTGGAAGGAGTTGGCAGGTGCTCCTGCTGTTGTGGTTGTGGCTCAACGAAAACATGATGATAAACCGGCGAGAGGTAACAACAAGGGGATCGCCTATGAGAATGTGATCTGTAGTAATGGCAAGCTGAGTAATGTGGTCTGTGGTAATGCTCACAATAACGATCAGAGTGAGCAAGTGATGAATGTCTGGATGACACAACACTAGCATGCCGCCTGTAATATTCTGAGTGAGAAGTCGGTCTTGGCGAATGATGCAAGTGTGGAGAAAACCTCGAGGACGGTGACTTCGAGCTGTGCCTGTCCCTCTGCCTCAGCTACTCCCTCAGTGGTTCCCGGTACGGGGTTCTCACCTTGGGTCAAGGAGAATGAGAGATGTCTCCTGTACGGTACTGAGGATCACTCGGTGTAGAAGAGCGATGATTCGGTGGTGATGGAGAGGGTGCCGGAGAAAAAGTCAGGGCTGGAGAAATAGAAATGCGCCAGTTATCTGACTTATCCATGACTTTGCTTGATGCTGATGTGGTGCCGCTCCTCGGAATCAACCTGGTTTCCCCCTTTCTTAGAGCCACCGCGCTGATGTGTGTGACTCCACCATCATGGGTGCCATTGCGCGTGGCACCGTTGTCAGTGCTGAACGTGTTGGTGCCTGTGGTGGCGAGAGCAACGACAGCGCCGATGGTCATGGTGCCGTAATATCATCCGTTTGGGCTCCCGGTGCCGCTGTTGGTCTCAGTGCCGATGGTGTTCTATGTGCCAAAGTAGTCAACTTTTCAGATTTGCCTCCTGCAGAGATTTCTGAGGCCATGGGGGCGGTGCCAGATGTACCAGGCTTGTCCCCTTTACTGATTCTGCTGACAGGATCAGCAGGTAGAGATTGCATGGGGGATGCTCTGACTTTCTTCGCGGCAGTCACCCCTGGAGAAGAAGCCCTGCGCTTCTGCGTCACACCCACCTCTGAACTCGGCGGTGGAGCGAGGTCTGTGGGTTGTAAGGCTTTGTCAGACAGGATCATTTTGACGGGCATTTCTTTGTCCCTACACACTCTAGCAGTGAGCCTAGAGTGATGCGTGCACTTCTGTGGGACATGTACCTCGCCCAGACAGCTAATCCAGGCCGAGTGGCTATCGGATGCCAGCATGGCCTCGTGGAAAGCACTTTTTAAAACCTGGTTAACCAGGCATTGTCTCCAGTTAGGGATACTTGTAGACTTAAAGCTAACTAAAACAACTCTCTTCTTCTTTGTTTTGGAAGGAAAAACCGCTAATAGAGAACAAAGCTTTTTTTAAAAAATACGAAAGAACTATAGAACTGTAAACACACGAAGACTAACACTAACTATTTCTTAACTAACTATTGACAGGAAAACTCTGACCAGATGAGGAGAAGAACAGAGTGCCGCCTGCGACCGAGGATGGTCGAGAGGAACTAGCAGGAGCCAGACCACACACGACAATTAAAGGATGTGAATGGTGCGAAAAGCTGACGGCGCATGTGTGGTCCAGATGACTACGGCTACTGAAAATCTCTGACCTGTGGCTCTGGGATGAGCCCGACACCTGCAGTGGAGCACCCCCGGGGACCACTTGAAGAAGAATGACAGGTTACATGAGGTATTTGGTCCAAAGCATCTTCAAGTTATGGCTACTTGTGTCCTTAAGTCAATTTCATAAAGCATGGGGGGAGGGATGAAACCTTCACAACACACTAGGGGCCACCCTCCCTCACTCTTCCCCTGGTTCAGGTGTAACCTTCTCATTCTGTTCCCCACTCTGGCGCTCCAAGGCAACCTCTACACTGCAGGCTTCTTCCACAAAAGCTTCTGGTGCAAGAACGCACCCACACTGCAAAAGCACATTGGAAAAGCGATGTGCTTAGGTGCAAGAGAGCGTCCAGAGTGCATGGATGCTCTCTCGCAAGCAACCTCTCATTGCCATTTACCCAATAGCCACCAGGGCACCTGTGCTTTTTCCAACTGGCTCTTTTTGCTCAAAAAAACCCTTGTTGCCCATCACACACACCTTTTTTAAGAACGGGGGCACAGGGGTATGTCTACACTACAGCACTAATTTGAATTAACTTAATTCGAATTAGTTAATTCAAACTCAGCTAATTCGAACTAGTGCATCTAGACCTAAAAACTAGTTCGAATTAGCGTTTTGCTAATTCGAACTAGCATGTCCACATTGAGTGGACCCTGAACCGAGGTTAAGGATGACCGGAAGCCTTGCTGGCAGGGCATCAGATTAGGACTTAGAGCGTGGAGATGCTGTCTCAGGCTAGCCGAGGGCTGTGCTTAAAGGGACCCGACCCCCACCCCGGACAGACAGTTCTTAGGGGTTCCCCGCTTGCAAAGCAGTCCTGGCTTGGAGTGCCGTGAGTGCCCTCACTCGTCACATCACAGCACTCGGCCATCAGTCCGGCTGCACTTGCCGCAGGCTGCTATCCGGGGAGGGAGGGTCTATCAGCGGGCTGCAGGAGAGCTTCCACCCCAAGGAGCCCACAGAGCCACCCCAGTCCTCCCCATCGGGGGCTCGTACCCCATTCCTCCCTCACCTCCTTCCACTTACCCCTCCCTAGCCCCCCTTCCT